ACCCACACCCACACCCACACCCACACACCCACACCCACACCCACACCCACACCCACACCCTTCGTTATAATGTTCATTTTCGTATGATTTTGGGTGAAGGAACAGCTGTTGATCTAGATACGGTGACCGATTGGAAGACACTATTGTCGACAATTCTTGAACAATACAATCCTGTGGATGTTTATAATTGTGATGAAACGAGTCCTTATTACAAATTGATGCCCGACCGATCTCTTATTGTTAATAAAGATGATTGTATTGATGGTAAGAAATCTAAAGAGAGATTTACCGTGTTTTTATGTGCCAATTGGGCGGGAAATGACAAATTAAAGCCAGTGGTGATTATTAAGTGGTGATTTAATTACCGTACCCATAATATAAGTGTCATCATTTTTTTTAATTTTAGGAAAAGCAGCTAAACCAAGATGTTTCAAGAATCTTGATTTGAAAAAATTGCCTGTCACGTGATACAGTAATCGAACAGCGTGGATGTATAGTTCTATATTTACTGATTGATTACATGAGTTGGATTTAATGATGCAAAAACAAAAACGTCGAATATTATTGTTTTTAGACAATGCACCAGTACATCCAACGGATATTAATCTGAAAAATATTACTCTCAAGTTTCTTCCGGCTAATACCACAGCTATTATACACCCAATGAACCAAGGAATTATTAGAACCTTCAAAGCTTATTGTCGACGACAGCTTGTTCAACATATTACCAAAAAGTGCTGGTAATGCTTACTCGGCAGACGATGTTGTGATCACAGCATTAGATGCTATTTGTTGGATAGATATCGCCTGAAAATCCATCACAGAAATTACTTCATAAAATACTTTCAGAAAAGCTGGATTTATAATTCCATCTGTTTCGTCGGATTGACCATTAACAGAAACAACATTAACTGATGAAATTACTTCCGTTCAGGAACAAGAATCTTTAAATAATCTTGATACAGTACTAAAACATATCTATCAGTGGTGCTGGTATACCGGCTATTGATTTAGTAGTGAGTTTTCAACAGTCACTCTAAGCTCTAAAAGCATACTAATTAATCTCATTTTGAATATTCTAGGGTGTCGACGACAATCTACCAGCATTCAATGAATGGGGTGATAATAGTGAAAAAATTTTATCTATTAATGTTGTTACCAATGAAGATACTCCACAGAATGAAGATTTTGAAATTGAACAACCACCATCATTACCCGAAGCTATCAAACTACTTCGTCGATTAAAATTATTATCAACTATTCATCATCCAGAACTCCATTCATTACCGTCGTAGTTACAGTCGAAGCTCATCGATATCTATTTGGATTAGAAATCTATTGTAGATTTTTTTCGACCTTGTGAATCGAAAACCAAAAACTGTGTTTAACTTTTTTGTTAAAAATGTATAATTTGCAAAAGTTATAAACTTGAATAAAATAAATTAATTTACTTTAAAGTTGTGAGTAAATGGTCAACCTGATGTTTTAATCTGATTTTGCTTGTCCCCTCCTTTATGAACACTCTGTTAAACTGAACGTTTTTCGTCGGTCCCGACGATGTTCACATTAGACAGGTTTTACGGTAATTGAAATATTCTAATGAAATATTCTTAATATTCCCTAGACTGAAAGGCTAGGGTCTAGAAACCTAAATTTCCTTGTTTGGATTGGTCACGTCTGTGTTTGGATCGGTGACGTCTGTATTTGCATCGGTGACGTCTGTGTTCGGATCCGTGACATCTTTGTTTGAATCAGTCGCAGAGGTTGTTTGTGCATTTTTATGTGGTCTTCGAGGTAAATTTGGCCTTTTGGTGGATTTTCTAGCTATATGCTCGATTCTATTGTTTGCCATTTTTTCCTACTTAATTTTCAAAATATCGTAAGCTTTTTCAGTCTTTTAAATATCAGTCTTCCCTGATCTGATTTCAGTTTTCGTTTTTTATCGCGCTTTTTTCTTAATTTCACTTTCGAGTATCTCATCATAAATAGTTTAGTTTTCTTTGAGTTTGTTTACTTGAATACAATATTGTGGCGAAATAACTGTGCCAACTCGTCGCACACCAATCTTAATTCTTCCAGTAACATTCACGATTATATGAAAATAGATATCCGCTTGTCGACTTCTACAAACCGAATGCGAGCATTTCGTGCCCGTCGTGCTCTCGTTGAGACTGCTGAACAAAAAGAGAGTCGCCTGGCTATTGACAGACAATACAGAAAACAGCGATTGATCGATTTTGGTGTCAAAAAAACAGTCGAAGAGAAGCAAACGCATCTTATATCACGTAGCCAATACAAAGTGAAACGTATAGCCGATAAACGTGCAAAAGAAAACGCAAAGGAGAGAGAAGAACGTCTTACAGTCAAACGTGCTAAAGAAATGAACCGCCGACACAACCTACAGGCGCGCGAGACTGATGCGGAGCGAAATACTAGATTAGAACGTGATCGTGATCAACATCGGTAAGACTCATAGTTTCTTTGTTTTTTCTACCAAACATTCCTTTCTTTTCGACTCATAGGGCGAAAACACGTGCGAAAAATGATTCAAATATCGCAACTGACCGAAAGTGCGCTGTATGCGGCTATAAAATCCTGACTCAAAATTGGTCACAATTAACTATCAGATCGTTTCCGAACCTGCATCTTCTTCGACCTCAGAGCGACGAGATATGGAATTCTGTTTTGAAAATTAACTTTTCACGATTTACCAGTAAGGGTCTTTATTGATCGGAAATCATCATTTTGAAACGTTTTCTAACTCAAAATAGGCTATGTTCGACGAATGTTAGAAACTTTCTCTGGTTTCGATGTTCTCGTGAATGGAGCACTGTTAGGACGATGCGGGATCGATACGAAAACTGGATTGATAGTTGTGTGCCGTGGTTGCCAGACCTCTTTACAAAACAATGCTACGCCTGCATCGGCTTTGAGCCGCCTATACTCTCCAGATGATGTTTTGGATGAAGAATAACTTTTGTACCGTATATAAAATTGACGTTCGTTAATGTTTTTAACCTGTTCTAACATAGAGACGAAACATCTCCGTATGTAAATCTAAATTCCTTTTCAGTTTGTCACTTAATAATATACTAACTATGAACGGTAGAAAGACTTCATGGTTTCCATGAATGCCATCAGTGCTCAAAAACCGAGCTACGAAAGCTTAGTAATTAGTTCTTTTTAAATTTCTTGTTTCGAAATCTCCAGTTCTTTGGTCATTTAAATATATTCAACACTCAACAGTCTACAGTAAAGTGAATCTGCATTCGATGAATATTATTTCTTTTTTTACAACTTTAAGATATTTATGTTTCTGTTTTTTGTAGTTCTGACTTCTTAACTTTAAATTGCTTTTATTTTGAACTGATTTCTAATTATGAAGTTTAAAAACACTTGGCTTTCCTCTTGTAGCACATCTTTGAATTTCAGCGAGATATGTACCCTTTGATAGTCTCATTTACATATCTAGTCATCATATTTCATCGCCTTTTAGTCTGGGGATGAGTGAATCGGAATCCGATGAACGTTACTTGTTACTACTAATAATAATATTATACTATAAAATCAATTAGTGATAAATATGAGCATATAATTGTGTTTTAATGTGAATACTAGATTAATTCATAGATATAATAAATAAAGTTATTAATTATTAAG